AAAAAAAAAAAAAAGCTGAGGCAGCCAAACTACTCATATCCGCAATCTCCCTAACTCTGCCCAACCCAAAGTCTAGCTCAAGAGAAGTATCTCAGCATTCCCTGGACAATACTTTTCTGTCCCAGCGTCTTTGCTTAACCATTAGCCTCAGTTTGGAAACCCCTCACTCTCCTCAAGTCTCTGCCTATTGAAATTATATCCCATCTTTCAAAGCATCTCTTCCATAAGCTTGTCCTGATGCCCAGGTCGGGATATCTCCTTCTGTTGCACAGCAATGTTTTCATTCACTTCTAGCATTTACGTTATTCAAGGCAGATACCTGTCATCAATGGTAAGGTTTTCGAGGACAGACAGGTAGGCCCTTACTCATCTTCATTAGGCCCTGGCCAGGCCTGCCAAGGTCAACCCTACTAAACCTTGAGCTAGCTGAATGGTCATCATTACACACTTCAGCAGGCCTGTATGTGATGGTGAGTGTTCGTGTTTTCATAACCTATAAAGAGGCAAGATGGAGCTGGAGGTGGAGTACAAGATCATACTTGGAACCTGGTTGTTGCAGGAGGCAGAGCTTGTGAAATGAAGCCTTTGCAACTACTTGAAATGACAATGTTGTTGTGTAAGGGTGGATTAGTCTGATTAGCACGGAATGACTAAGGCCCCACGCAGGGCTTCCTGGGAGTTGGCAATTTCTTCAGACATACTTAATTACCAAAAATGGCAACCTAGTATTTTGGATAAGAGGAAAATAACAAAACTGTTTTCTATTTTGCACAAACATTAAATGGCCAAATAAAGACAAAGCAGCTAAAAAGGGAGATCGTCAGAGGAGACTAAGGGCAGAGCAAATTAGAAGTGAAAGGGAAACAATTCTATTAATAGCCAGAAAGAAAAGAGTCAGGGAAAAAAAATTATTTATGTATATAGACATACACATAAGTACACAAACATATCATTCATATATGATGCATATGGTCAAAAAGAAAATATTTCTCTAAACCCAGAAATGAAGGAGAAAAACATCGAGGGCCTCTGAATAAAGCAGAAGAATGAAATGTAAATTGTGCATATACACATTCTCAAAAACAAGAAAAGTGGTCATTAGAAGATTAACTCTCCACCCTCGTCTAACCTGCTTCCTTCTATTTCAGACTATCAGTGACCCTTGTCTAGACAGGCTGGGCTTCCCTCTCCCAAACACACGATGAGCTTCTGGAGAAAGCAAACAAGATCTGTTCCATTTCTGTCACTCCAATACCCAGAGCTCCGCCTAGCCCAAAGCATCACTGAATGTTGCTAAGTTTACACTGAATTAATAAAGAAAAGCGCATGTCAATTGACAAATACAATTTTAATTTGTCTCTCTACCGGGAAGAAACAATCAAACTGAATCCACTCCTAACATTTAAAAAAGCGACCCGCAGACTAACTGGAGCGCAGGGAGCCCCCAAAAGGGAGACAGAGAGCTGAAAGAGATTAGGGAAGGATTTCCTTTTCCCATATGGACGGAAGGGGGCGCCGGGACGCCCCCGGAGCCCAGCCCGACTCCAGCACCAAGAGGCTGGTCCAGAAATGAGAAGACAGGGTTCTCGGTCTACTCACGCCGGTGCCAGCAGTCGGCTCTTTCTTTCGATCTCGGTCTGATCGGTACCCAATCCCGTCGAACATGATATGACCTTACGCTCTGGAAAACTTTAGCCCGAAAAAATCCTGACCCGACGAGGAAATGCAGGAAAACAGGAAACAAGAGACTCTGCGGCACCTCCTCCAGTCGGCCATGGCCGCGCTACCCAATCAAGTCTTGTGTTTCAACATACCCGCTGCCCTAAGCCTGCAAACCCCAAAAATTCCATGAGCACAACGCGTAGGGCTCTCCAAAGAGGTAAATTGCCCCTGCTGTGGCCGAGCGGTCCTCGTGGCTCTGAGGGGAATTAAGCGTGGTCGGCTAGGACTACACAGGAGTCCCCACCGCGTCCACCCACGCCTCGGAAGAGGAAAAAGGGTGACCCGCCGGCGCCCCAGGGACCAAACCTATTTCCGTCTCCGTTTTCGTTTCCAGTAGGCCCCTCTCAGCAGGAAGACGGCCTCAAACGCCCAAGACCACCGAGAGGGAGGTGGCCTTCCGGACCGAGCGGGTGGATTCGCCTAAGCGGGTTTAACATTGTAATCGAGTTAAAGGAAATGCAAATATCCGTTGCAAACAGATGGAAAGCTGGTTAGAAAAGTTGACTTTAAGCAGAAGTCCAATCCGAAGCTAAAAGTTAAGCAAGTGTTAACAGGAAAAACAACAGCGATAAAAAGTCTGGCAAACACGTTCCAAATTCCCCCTAGACACTGAGTTTTTGTTTCAACTCTGAAGTTGTTTGTCTCCCTCCAATGGGAGACGTTTTGTAAGATGATTATTAGGGGAATCACTAGAGCCGGGCGATCTCTCCTGTTAAACAGCCCCAGCACGCCCGCGCAGGGTCTTGGTTTCAGATTGCCCAGGCTAGTCGCGTCTAGAAGCTTGAGATAAGGCAGCTCCCTGCTGGCAACTCCTCTCTTGCGTAGATGAATTTCAAAAGTCAACAAGCCCTGAACTTAACTTCCTGTTCTGCAACCTTGCTCTCCCGCAAAGTAAAAGAACTCTGTAAGAGGCAGTTCACGCATAGAATTTAAAAGGACTTGCCCTCCTGACCAAACCCGACACTGCCAGAGGGTGCACCTGAGCCCTTTCACGTTTCTCAGTGCTTTTGAAAGACCAGAAAGGGCAGAGGACCTGCTGATTTTAAAGCTTACTGTCTTAGCTGCGAACTTGCCCAAGGCAAGCACTCCTTACAATTTGGCCAAAATGTCCATTGCACTGCGTTGAGAAATTACCCTGACCTAGTTAGCCAGGCTCTTGCCTGACAGAGAAAATTCTCGTTTTAAGCAAAGGTTACAGGGCTCTGGGGACCCCGCCGCCAAGTTCGCGGCCAGTTCTGCATCTGTGGGGCCGCCACGCAGGACTAGGTCCTTAGGGCCGGTAGATCCTGGCTCTCCCACCACTCCCGGATTCGGGCAGCCTCCATACAGCAGGGTACCTAGGAATCCTGGGGTGGTGGGCAGGGGTGGGGGCGGAGAGAACGAAAGGGAAGGCAGTGGGCCAGTGGGGTGAGAGGGCGGGGGAAATGCCACCGGGCCGCCCGCGGGCAAACCCCAACCGTGGTGCCATCGCCTGAGTCACCCGTCGGAAGGCCCACTCCCCGCCTCCGCCCAGCACCCCCCGCCCCCCCGCCAGTTCTGGGAAACGTGCTGCCTGGAACAACAGCCTTGACCAGACAGACACGCGCGGGGCCACGGGGTCAAAGACTCAGACACCTGACTGACGTCCAGTCTCTCAGCCCCGGGAGGGTCTAGAGCTGCGGGGTGGCGCGGGGACACGTACCGTCCTGCCCACCGCGAGGCTCTCATCCCCGGAGATCCGATCCGGCTTCACTTCCCTGTGCGCCTGAGAAACGCTGGTAACAATGGAGGCAAAGAAACCGAAAGCCTGAAACGGACGTGGTGCTTTCCCGTCACGCCCTTCTGGGGCAGCATTGATCTCCCTGGACTCTATCCTAGTGAACAAAGTTTAATGGGCTCTCATTGAGTGTTAATCCAGAAAGCCACTACCGACAGTCTACTACTGAACGATTCACGGCTTCCTATTTATAGTCTGTACGATTGGTTGGTGCGAGCACTAAAATAATTTTATGAGATAAACTCATTACATTTGCGGCAACTTGGATGGAGCTGGAAAAGATCCTGCTTAGCGAAATAAGCCAAAAAGAAAAAGAATAAAATACCGGATGGTTTCACTTATAGCAGGAGTGTAAGGGATCGGGGGAAAAGTGTATATATATGTGTGATTTGTGTGTGTGTGTGTGTATATTATATATATATATACACACACACATATATAATAGTAATTCTATTAAAAAGTATATATATAGTAATTCTATAAAAAGTATGTATAGTAATTCCATAAAACACTGTGTGTGTGCTTATATATATGTATATATATATATATATAATTCTAATAAAGTAAAAAATACATAAATTATAAACCATAGACATTCTACTGGGGAGGAGAGGGGAACGAGATCAAAACGGGGATGGTACATGGGTGAAGTGGTGGTGGGAAGTCCACAAGGATTACAACTGAGAGGAAAAAATGTCCAAAATAAAGAATAATGTAAAAAAAAGTTTTAAGAAATTCAAATAATAATAATTTTATGTATCACTTATTCAGTCTTGCTTGTTTGTTATTGAGGCACGGGAATAAGAAGTAGCAAACGTCAAAGTTCTTTGGAGTTTAGTCTGTCAGCACCTAATGACTACTTTCTGGTGATCTTTTTTAATTTATTGATTTTCTTAAATTTAAAATTACAGGAAAACTGCAAGACAAAACAAACTAACAACATGAGAAGCGAGGCTAACATACTCAGTAGTGAAACTCAAGAAGATTATTTTAAAAAGGTCCTTTAAAGCTTTGGTAATAACCTTAAAACAAGGATAAATGATAAAACATGTATTCGAGAACATCTGTAAAAGTTCCAGTAAGGTGAGAATCTGTAGGACTTGAGCCAAGACCTCTTTCTCCCACCCTTTCCTCCACCAGCTCAGCAAGGCAGAGACCTCTCTGGACTGCAGCAATCAAGAAAATAGGGCCTTTTCTCCCCAAGGTTCCCAGCTAAGAGTACAGAAATAAATTAATACCTGTATGGTCAACTGCCCTTCACTAAGAATAGTCCTGTTACAATTTGATTTTTTTAACCAATAGTCCTGGTACAACTGGATTTCCACATGCAATGAATCTTGAAGTTAAATCATATCTCACACAAATATATGGCTAATTTGAAGTGACTCAAAAGCTACAACTATAAAATTCTTAGAAGCATATCAGCAGTTCTCATCCTGGATTTCTGGTGACTTACCTCCTCATTCTTCGCCCAATGTTTGGCCCTTCAACCAGACACATGACTTTGAAAGAAGCTTGTAATTTTTCCATGCACCCTGTTCAAACCTCCTGCCCAGTTGTAGTGTCTATGTGGGGGGAACCAGTCCACAAAACAGATTGTTCAACTCTTCCCAAAGGAACTGACTGTGTTTTCCACAGAACATGAAGAACTTCAAGCCAAAGAGTATTCTCAGCATTCTTTCATGATAAAAAAAAAATCCTCAACACAGTAGATATAGATAGAATTGCTTAAGTTTGTAAAAGTCATCAACAAACACCAACAACTGCATATTATTTAAAAGTGTAAAACTGGGCATCCCTGGTAGTGCAGGGATTAAATTCTCAGTGCTTTGAAGCTATCACCAGCCACTGTGGCATGAGTCTGATACCACCCAGTGAGGTAACCCACATGGCAAAGCAGACCTCTCCTGTCCTTCCCGCTGCTTCTCTTAGCAGTGTATTTCAGTAGATCTGCCTATTCTGCTCCCCAGTCTGTCTCTGGTAAAACTTCTCACCCCCCCTGCACCTCTGACCCAGTTCTTGTATGTATAAATAATAAAAGTATTTTTTAAAAATGAGAGTAAAATTGAATGCCTTCCCTTAAGGTTAGAAATGAAACAAAGATGTCTGCTGTCCCCACTGCTATTATACATTATATTGGAAGTACTAGACACACCAAGAACCAAAAGGATTCAATGTCAGAAAAGAAGTACAGTATCTCTTATTTGCAGATCTCATGATCTTGTATAAAGAATATTTTTTTAAGCAAAGTCTTTTAGAACTAATAAACAAGTTCAGCAAGCTTACAGGATAAGATTCATATACAAAACTCAATTTTATTTCTATACACTTGCAATGAACATTCCAAAAATGAATATAAGGAAACAATTCCATTTACCATAGTATCAAAAATAATAAAACACTTTAAATTTCACACACAAAAAAAATGTATAAAGTAGTGTGGTACTAGAACAACGATAGACATACAGATGGATTAAAAAAGTTAAGAGTACGGAAATTATTAATTCCTATATGGTCAACCATCCTTCATTAAAAATGGTGACACTACTCAATGGCAAAAAAGTGGTCTTTTTAACCAATAGTCCTAGTACAAATGGATTTCCAAGTGCAAATGAATGAAGTTAAATCATATCTCACACAAATGTAAAGTCAATTTGAAGTGAATCAAAAAGCTACAGCTATAAAATTCCCTTTTTTTAAAAGATTGATTTATTTATGCATACAAGGACTGGGGTACAGACCAGAGGTGTGGAGGTGGGGGGGAAAGGGATTGAGAGATTCATCAGAGATAGAGTGGGGAGGAGAACAGGTAGATCTACTGAAATACACTGCTGAGAGGAGCAGCGGGCAGGTCAGGAGAGGTCGGCCACTCCATGTGCGTCACCTGTCAGGCCGGGGATCGAATTCGTGCTGCAGTGGCTGTGGAACGCTTCATAGTGCTGTGCTTTGATTTGTTGCGCCACCAGGGAGGGCCCTATAAAATTCTTAGAAGCAAACAAAAGGATGAAACTTAATGACCTTTTGGCAGGAAACTCTTAGATATCATTCAAAGCATGAGCAACTAAAGAAAAAAATAGTTTGATTAACTTCCTCAATATTAAAACCTTTGCTTCTTCTAAGGATTCAGTCAAGAAAATGAAAGAACAATGTGCAAAGTGTGGTGGGTGGGGGCAGAAATTGCCATTCCTGTATCTTATAAAGGACCTGTGTCCACAGTATAAAAGGAACTCAGTGGGAAATGTCGATGAGTTTTCCTAAACCAAGAGGCACACCTCATCCTAATGAGCCTTGACCTTTCTCAACCTCCCTGACTGAAATCT